TAAAAGATATTAACCATAAATTTTAATACTATGGATTCTATTTGCAATTTTACAATTTCTAAATTATATCTGTATATGAGCCAACTAAATCAATTTTTACAAATTTTTTCATAATTAACTATCCTATTTTTCTAATGCTTATTTCAAGAATATTATCAGCATATAATTTAAAAATTATTTTATAGAATATCTTCTTATTCTTAGAATTGTTTCAATCAATTTTTAATTTTTAATGTGATCAAATACTAGAGTTTTAGTTCTCTTAATAATTTACTTACAAAAGTAGTAAATCGTTCTTCACTTATACTAAAATATATTTTGCTTCTTGTTGTGGAGCCTTTGATTGCAGTTGGAAAGTATATAGTTGAACATTCACTACAGCTAAATAAAATATTTTTACTAACAGGAATGTGCCAAGAAATCAAAAAAAATGCTTTTATCCAAAGTAAAAAATTAATTTCATTGATAATTTTAAAGTTAAATTTATCTAAAACTAAATAGGTATTCGAATAAATAAGATTTATTGAAATTTTTATCAAAAGATTTAATCTCCATAAACTAATTTGTTAAATAATTTAATTTAAGAGTTGGTTAAAAGATTTATGAATATCAATAATGCAAAGAACTTCAAAAAAGTAATTTTATTCAAATTATTTGTGTTTAATTTATCACTGTAAAATGTAATTACATAAATGCAGTTTCTTAGAATGTAATTATAAAAGGGTATTTGTTATTTATAGAATTGGGATAGGGATAATTAAATAAATTTATGTTATTAATTTCGTTTGTAATACCCTAGCAATCTCTTTATTTATTTTGTTTTTATGGATAGGAAACTTTGCTATTTACTCTTCTACCTACTTTAATAGGAAAAGTTTTTCTTCAGCTCATATAATTAAGAATGATGTAATAAATGAATTTGCTTTAATGCAGGAAGGAATTAATCATCAATTATAGACATGTCAAGAGCTCATTTATAGCAAAGGAATAGGAAACAGAAACTTTTAACATTGAAAGAAGGTTATGCTCTGGAAATTGTTAGTAAAACAACAATTCGATATATGAAAATTTTGAGTTACGCTGAATTACCTGCAGGATCTCAAAAATGTAGCCTATCCTGCTCACTTTTACAAAAAAGCAGAATGGAATATAAATAATGATAATTTATTAAGCAATGTAATTTTCTTTTGTGATCCAATTAAATAAGCACAATTAGATTAGTAGTCGCATTATTGAATCATGTTTAACTATATTAATAGTAATCATTTATTTTCTGTAACCACTTTACTTTTTTGTTAGATTATTTTTCAAGTTGTTTATAATGTCCTAATCAATTTTAATTGAATAATTCAAAAATAGCTTAAAAATTAGTAATGAACATTATCTATAATTAGGCCATTATTGTATTGTTATTAAATCCAACAGATGTAAAGTGAAAATGCACTTACATCATAGATTTACTAAAGAAATATGATTTTTTTTAAATATATTCCTATATTTATAATATTCCAAAATTTTTAACAATAATACTTAACTAATTCTGCAAAACAAGTAGCAAAAAAAACAATTCACAATATTTCCTTTCTTTGTTAACTCTATGAAATTAAATAATAAAACATAGAATAATTCAGAAACTAAATTCATGAGATATTAAATGCACACTAAAAAAAGAAATTAAACCTCATTCATGGTAATAACAAGAAAGCCTTGTTAAAATACTAAAAAGTAAATTCACATCACATCAAGATTAATTAAAAAAAATAATCGTGCAAAATATACTGAAAGCAGAATACTATATTTGGATATTTATCTGTGCTAAAAAAATTAAAACTAAGCTTTAAATTCTAATCCAAATCATAAGTCTTGGCATAAAACTTTTTTAAACTCATTTAATTGTTTTAATACTATAGTTTCTATTGTTTTTCCAAGAAATTAATAATTTTCTCACATTTATTAATTTTCTATTTAATGTTATTAAGTGACTTTATCCACATTCTTTTCTAAGATTCTAGAATTTTTCTATCATATTTTTATTCTAAGTTTAGTTAATACTATTATTCTACTACTTGCATTTTATGTGCATAAATATATTTTGTTTGGTAAAATATCCTTTCAAATTTGAGAACCCCTAATTATTATATAGCTTAATTGAACTAGTCTGAATATTAAGTTTCAGAAGTATATCAACTCTTTTGTTCCCTTTTCTATTAACAGAAGCATCCCTAATATATCATATCAATAAAACTACATCAAAGATTTATCTTTTGTTAGAATGAGTATAAATTCTTAGAAAATTTATAAAAAATAATAAATTATGGAGATATGATAAATAATAATTCTGATAGTTTAAAAAAGTTAGTTAATATTTTATTGAATAAGATTTATATCTAGTGAAAGTATTGAAGATTTTAATTTATAACAAACTTACAAGTTTAAAATACTTTATAATTTTAAATAATCATGGTTAATCAAAATATCATAATCATACTAACCTGATAGATTTCAATCGTTTTAAAATAGATAATAATAACTAGGTACAAAAAATAAAAGTAAAGTAGTTTCTATGTAACTTAAATTAATTAAGCTCTGAAAAGGTCAATGATTTTAATTAGAAAATCTAAAATGATAAAATTTATCTAATAATATGAATTAGTCTTATTTTAAGAGGTCAAGCCTACAGTTTCTACAACCTATTTAGTAGACTTACTTAGTTTAATCTTCCAAATTTTTGATCATTCATACAGATTTATACTTTCCTGTTTCTATGCTAATATTTCAACAGTATTTGCTTCCATCTTTCTGATACAGAGTTTCTTGATTT